AAACCTTCGCTTTGCCGATTCTCAAGAAGTACTAGCGAAGCAGAGGTGACGATCAACAAGCTTAACGAAGTGGGGAAAAAGATCGGACTGCGCATAGATCAAAAAAAGACCCAATTCACGAGAAACCCATGGTACGAAGGCGAAAAAATTAAAGTGGATTGCTTTCTGATTGCAGAGACCACCTCGTACGCACACCTTAGGCGATCAATGAACATGGAAAACAACATGAAGGAGGAACTAGATAGAAGAAGGAGAGCAGCTTGAGCTGCATTCGGGCCTCTGAAAGAAGCCACCGACCAACTGAAGGACTCGTGAATCCGCGCTCATCTCTTCGATTCTGCGGTCCTCCCAGCGCTCTGTTACGCTGTCGAGACGTGGGTTGATACTTCATCCATATCAAAAATGCTTCGCACTATTTACAAGCGCTTGAGCGATGTCTTCTGAAATATAACCATCACTCTCAATATCTAGCCGGAATGCGAAGCCCTGACCTTCGAAATCTGTCAATTCTTCGAGATCCAGGAGAATATACATCGATAACGAAACATAGTTGGGCCGGTCACATAATGAGAGGAACCGACGATTGATGGATTAAAAGAACAGTAGAGTGGACTTCAAGAGAATCTAAACGTCTCTTAGGACTAGCACTCCACACGTTGGGCGGACGTGTTCGTAAACAAAGTTAATCAGCTGTACCCGCAGCTGCAGTTGTTTTACAGATCACGGTGTGAGACTCGCACGCACGACCATGCTCGAACAAGACCACCACCATAGACTACGATTGCGAGAGAAAGGAACGAATGGCATATGTGCTGGATTCCGCACAGCTCGTGAAGACGGACCGTCCAAGTATTCAAGGAAGTGTCCAAGACTTGTAGGAGAAACTTTGCCATATCACTTTAAGCAGGTACATAATTTGTATAAGATAATCTTTCAGTCTCAGATTTCTTCTAAATGAAAATTTCTGAGAAAATTGAAAGCAAAAGTACTTTTCCAAATTTTCCGATTCGATTCAACTCTCGACAAAGAAAAGCGGAAAATGCGTTACGTTTCCTCCAAGAAAGAGTATTATTTTGGTCGCTTATAAAAAATAGAAAGTTTGTTGATAAAATTCTATGCAGATCCTAATAGGTCATAGCTGGATGAGTAAAGTACACTATAAGCTGAGATGTGTTGGTTTGACGTTCAAAGCAGGCACTATCTCGCCATCAAAACGGCATTGAAACCAACGCCACCAATCAAGCGATATGTATTATAGTAGCTGCTACTGCTTACAGAATGGACGGCTCTATGTCAAAATAGTCATAATGACACCTTATGAATATGTATTACATTCTTGTACAATACATACAAGTAACCACGAGTAGTTGACAATACTGGATGCAAGCAAGCGACGTAAAACGATAATAAAAGCCGTTAGAAATCGGAGACTACTGACAAGAAGGCAATGGTCATCGCTCATTGACCACGTTTTGATGAAGCATCAAGGTCAATCAGCTCTAGAGGTCACAGAATATTTAGCCTAGAACGCATCCAACCTCATTGTTGAATCTTAAGCGAAGACTCTGTGTAAGTTCCTACAAGCCTTGTGAGATTATTGACCTAAGAAAGCAGGAGATCATAAAAATTCAAAGTTGAGGCAAAGTGGAATTACAAATTGCAACTCAGAGGAGCAGCTTATCGAAAAATCTAATCCTTCGTAAGCATGTGCATTTTAAAAAGTGCTAGAACGCCTACAATTACTGGTTAGTTTTCTACAGGCAAAGATACGTTGTTGACCTATACGAAGTTTGTGAAAAGAAGATATTATCAACGGCTGTCATAACATTTTCTGTTTCTTCTGTAGGTAACGACGATACCTTATCACGGCTTATCGGTCGCACCATTCGCACGTTCAAATGATGAAAGTGTTAGATTCGACGCTATAGAAGGTTGTAAGAAATCATTGCGTAACTACCGTTCCATCATC